CTCCCTTACAAAGTCAGAAACTGGTTTAGTCACAAAAACGTCACATACACTCTGTATTGTAAATTTGTTCAATTATTTGTAAATGTTAATCTTGTGATGAACAGCTTTATAGTGGTAGACAAAATTTATTAAGTGTCACATGGTCATGTTTGTATTCCATGGTTGATCAAAACAATGTCATGGTGTTGTGTGGGAAGTCTATTTTAGATATTAAATTTAAAGTTTTTCAACAAAAATGATTTCCTTCTCAAATAGGCCTTGGAAAGTTTAGTTTCTGTAATGAAGTTGATGGGTCCGAAACACATCACGGCTGTCAGAGTAAAAGTGATGACAACACTAAAGATTGGATTGAGATACAAAGACAGTGGGTTTCCTGAGTTGAACTGTACAGCATGGGACTGTCTAGGTACACAGGTAAATATCATTGAACACAACTTCAAACAATCAATGTCAACAGGTTTCATTCATGAAGTACTAAAGTCGTCACACCAAATTGTGGTCAATATATTTTGCATGTAAAATACATTGTTTATGCAGATTATAAATCTGTGGTTTATACAGCAAATGTAGAAATTCAAGATCAGAATATTGTTTAGTCAATTTATGCAAGCTGTGTATTAGTAAAACAATGTTTTACTGAAACACTGAAACACAAAACACAACGAGAATGGGAACTTGCCTGAACTAGATATAGTTTTTCAGTCCTTGTCTCCATATGTATTGTAAATAGTCAAACTTTGGCTGCTAGAGATGCAAATTCATAAGTTGAGACCATTTGCAAGGACAAAATTTTGAGAAACGCACTATGACTTCCTGTCTTGAGGACCCAATGAAATCCTAGCTACAATATTTGATTTTTCTTATCCTGCGAAATTACCAAAAACTTGTTCCTCATGAAACAGAGATTATGTTAACACACAAATATGCTTTCAGGATGCTGGGAATAAAACAGAAATGTACTGTGTTTGCTTTATTGAAAGCACATATAAAGCAACATTATTAAAAATATTACTTATTTAGACTACTGGTATATACACACCTCTAACATATGTGCAATCACATGTTCTACTGAGAGCAAATACAATCCTAAAAACGCATACAGAATTATTTTACTTCATCAATATAACATTTATTCAGATGCATACAAGAAATGGATGGTACATTGTTATTCCAATAAAACAAGAGATGCTCCATGGAAATCGCCATTGCTTGTGATTTGAAATGGTTGATAACAATGATATTCTTCAATAGACGATAACGTGTTATGTATGAAATCAAACATAAAAACAGGACAAACAAAGGTTGTAGTGGCGACAAAATAGCATGGAATTCGACAAATGCGAAAGTACTTTTGGGGATATTTCCACGCTTAATAATGTGCTGTACACATTTGATGATGGTCAATTTCGATGAAGTAAGGGTATTCAAATGCAATATTTTCCTGTCAAAGATCAGCTACGAAATAAAAAATCGTTTGATTTTTGTGGCAGACGTTTGGCACGCATCTTTCATGCAACTCGCAAGATCTTGCAGTTGAACGGGAAAATTACCTGTTGATGGCTTTGTGGTGACATAATGAATGTTTTTATTGTGCATGTTTATGTTCAGAGCATATGGAGATAAAACATAGAACGCAGAACACATTTGTTTTGACCATGTATGTTTTAAGATGTTCAACTAGAATGGTGAGTGCAATCTCTGAGAATTATGATTTGGGCTATTGTTTATACATGTTATATTAACTCTATATATTAATCATTATCACAGTGTAGAGTTGTCGTCTCTTGGACCAATGTTAAGTCAGATAATAGTCACATTATTACCCCTACTACATCAACTACCAGATAAAGTGGCTGCTATTTATCGCTATCTCATTGTGGAAAACAGGTGAGGTTACAATGAAATCTTAATCTCTTCACCACCAGTTCACTCTCTTCTCAAATTCACAAATTACAATAGTCCCGTTTATAGTCTGCAAAATGGCAAAATTTTTTGAGAAAAAAATTAAAATTGATTCAAATTTCATCTGTTGGCTCTAAAATAAGGGTTCAATTCCAGAAATATTGAAGTATATTATAAAAAAGTGCAGACAAATTTGGGCGAGAAAGTCCAGTGGAAAAAAAGGTTAATAGTCATAGTCTCAGTCAGTTTTGACTACATGTGATCAATAAGAGTTGGATCATTCAAACACTTGGGAGGGCTTGAAAGGGTGGATTTGAGAAGGTGGGTAGTTTTTAAACTGACTTTCATAATGAAAAAGTGTTACCACAATTTGTAGCCGGTGTCAAAATGAACATATCGGTTAGGTTAGTCTGCTGTCTTCCTATCAATTTCCTGACAACATTGTAATATTCCTAGGAACATTGTCAGCTTGATTGTCAGGACTTAAATCACAACGAACCACCACTCCAGGATACAACCATTATCAAATTAGATTTATAAATTTAAATTCAAAGTTAGATTTTGAGTGAGAGAATTCTGTTAAATATAAAATATTTAATTATTGAATCTTACAACGTTCTACATTCAAACAGTGAATTATTATTTGATTATAAGTGTACAATTTAGTTACAAATTCGAGCATACCGGCATATATCAAATATATTGGTACTTTTGATATGCAAATCAGTGTGCCAAAATATTACATATATTATATAAAAGGCATTGAAATTTTGTTTTCGGTAATGCATTGACGTCACAGGATTAATAGAAAAATAGCGATTTTTCTGTTTATTTTATTTTGGCATTCAGTCTAACACCAAGAAGTAATTTGTTTTACTCAACAGAGAAGTTTTAAATGATCATTTCCATGAAGTCTACTTTATTCCTGATATTCCGGAATTAGCAGAGGTGAATTCTGTGTTACAAGAATGCAGACAAGACTCTGCCATTACTGACCTTTGTACACAGTTAAAACAAGCCTTACAACATGTCAGTCATGAAAGCCTGGACGTTAGAATTTACGCACTAACCAAATTAAAGCATTTGCTGCACAATAACCAGGTAAGTAATATGTCTTCAAGGAATAATTTTTGACAATTGTGATTTTGTACAGCTATTAGTCCAACATGCTGTGTGTTGATCACACTGTTTTTTAATATATTGGAAACAATACACATCTTATGTAAACAATTCCTCGACAATGTTCATACAACCCAAAAATGGCAACCAAAAACAAGGCGTGTCATAAATACTGAATGCGGAGCCGTGTTTTCCTGGTACGCGCACGAGTTATGAAAGTGAAAGTGGCGTGAATCTTCATTATGGGCAAGCCAGTGCTTATCCTAGTTACCTCGGGCATGCGCATTTGCATTTTTCTGAGTTGGAACTCTTATGCGAGAGCAAGATTGAAACGGGATCTTGGTATCATGTCATCGTAGTTGCAAACCCTAAATAATGTACCTCTGACATGAACTATTAAATTCATAGCTTCCTTGAAATATTTTTTTTTTTTTTTTTCTATAGATGGAATTAAGCGAATTGATACTTGGAAATGAAAATATCCACCCAGTTATATCTCAGCTTGTTTCTGTGGTATGTACATGTCAGTGTTTATCATATTTCAGAGATTTCTATTTCTTAATAGCTTGCTTATGTATTTGATGTGAATTGACAGCCCAACTTTATTTTCTTATTCAGTTGAGT